ACTTAATTGACGACGAAGTATAATTACCATTAAAATAGCTGTTGTAAAAATTTTTAATTTATAACTAACCTAAACAAAAAAACACGAATTATTCATATCATAATCTTCTAGAAAATTTTATTGTTTTATTAGTACCAAGAAAACAAAAATGAAATTTCTTAATTGGAAAGCTGTTACCACAATTTCTCTAAGATTAAAATGTGAAACATGATGTAACTGCTGTTATTAATCACGCAGAGATTGCTTTATTCTACTTATTTTAAAAAACACATTTCTTCACCATCATTTTACTTCATCCTCTAGAAATGTAATAAGGAAGTAGTTTATATATTAAAATAAGACATTATGGATATACGACCTTCGATCATACATCAACAACGTCCGTCATGGCCTGTAGTGGTCTCTGACTAGAGGCGGCACAACTCGGGAGACATGTGAGTCAGCCCTGCTCCGAAAAATTTTGGTTGGAGTTCTCTCCCGATTTGAAAGTTTTGATGGGTCAATTTGAAGAAAATCGAAATTTGGAGAAAGTTATTAGGCAATTTTCTCCGACTCGTGAGATCTTTTGAACGACAGTGGCTAAGTTAAGCTGGAAAAAGACCGAGAAATTATTAGCACACCTGGACTAGATATGTACCGAGTCCGAGCTGCTCGGTCTAGATTCGTGTTCAGTGCATGCCTAATCTGGACACACCTGTCGCTAGTATCCACATGTGGTACGTGGTTGGTAACCACAAGTGTGTATCAGTGTTTCTTTTCTCATCTATCCAAGAACTTGGGACACCCTGATGACTTGTGCAACATCAATTTTTGTTCTCACATTTTCCCAATGTTATTTTATGCTATCTACTGATGCATCGAATATAATCAGAGCAGTCCAAAGAACATCTGAAAGCCTATCTGCCTTGAAAAGAACGCACAAGTGACAATAGAAAATTTTTTGACTTTTTCTCTGATTTTTGGATCAACACTCCCGTCTCATTTCGTCGCGTCGCCCTTGCTTCTGGCTAGTGTCTATCAAGATCTGTGATGATTTGTAGCTATCATCTGTCGTAGGTTTTGGAAAGTCCAAATTTTTATCCTTATACTTCAATAATCCTTGTAGATCGTGTTTCACAAAACTACCTGAAAAGTAGCAGCATCTAAATTTGAAATGGCAACAAAAACAAGATTATTTTGTAATGTATAAAGTAAAGCTGGTATTCCAGTTTCGAATGTATTATAAGGTTGACATATGATTTTATTGTAAATTAATTTAAAAGCTGCTGCAATATTACGTTCTTCATTGATAACTAAAAATAGACTTAAAATTGTTTTTTGAACTTCTGAAATAATAACTGCTGTTGAATTGATAAAACGTGGCCCTGGTATTGTACGTACATAACGTAATAATAATATGCTTAAAGCATTTTGTAGTGCTAATGCAACTAGACTAACAGGTTTCGTAAAAGTACCCGAATGATGCGAAACTGGAGATATTGATGTATTTGATGCAGAGTTTGGCATTTAAAATAAAAAAGAAAACTATTCAAGTATAATATTCAATAAATTATGGATATTCGTGCAATATTACACAAAAAGAAAAACATAATCATTCAAATGCACATAGACAAAAATTTTTAACAAAGTTTTAAAGTGCCTGCAATTCGAAATTCAAGTTGAATTTGTTTTGTTTTGCTTTTACATCTGGTTTGATAGAATGTGAGCTACTGATCACGAAAAACTAGTTTCTAACGCCCATGCACACACTTTTCTGACCAAAAAACTAAGTGATCATCTTTTTTCGTAAAGAACATCTATTTTTCTAATTACACAATTTTTTTTGGTTCACTTTGCCCAACAGCTTCTGAAGTTTTTTTTCTGATTTGGTATGAAAAACTGAGTGTAGAAATGGTTTTAAATTAGTTCTAGCTCAAAAAAGAGATTCATGATGAGATAACCTCACCTCTTGTTTTGAACCATTGATGAGTCGTTTTTGTGAACCTATCTAGTTTTTCTGTGTAAGTGATGAAGTCAAATATCTTGATTCTTTTAATTCATCGTACCATGAGTCTCAAAAGTACGCATCGTTTTTTTCGTCTTTTCTTTTCATGGCCGAAAAAGATCATTTTTATTTAATTTACGATCAAATAGTTAGGATTCTACTCGTAATTCTCGTTTTTTTTCTTCAAAATCAAGTTTTTATACAATAAGGTTATTGTATTCGGAAGACGCATAAAAAACTGAGTCGAGTGACCTAGGAGGCATCGCATGTAACCCACGACCAATCCTAGCAGACCATTGCTCAATCGATGTCACCGATTTGGCTGATATTTTTATAGTAGGTAGGCCTAATAGACTTAGGAAGAAATTGAAAATTTCAGCTCAAACTGATGAGCCATTTTGGAGATATAGACAACACATATGTGAAGGGATAGGTTCCATATGGAGTACTTTATAATGCAATACTTTCCAGTAAATCTCCATTTTCTCGAGAACAACAAGAGATATAACCGAAATTTTTTTACTATAAATACTATCGACGATGGACTATATATGCTCTGCTATGATATTTCACAAAAGTAAATATTTCACCACTTTTCACAGATAAGTTCAAGTTTCTCAACATGAGGTTTCATCTGAAATGCTTAAATCAAACATTTGAAAATAAATCGTCAATTTGCATGGTGAGAGTCGGGCCCCAAATTCGGCTCTCACAGTCGTGTTCAAAAAATGTTTGCTACCAAAGTTCAATTCTACAAATTTTTGAAAACGTCAGTCGATGCATTTCGATGTGCTCTTTCAGATGAGACTGCTCTCGATTAATTCTAGCGCACTGATTTGACCAACTTACCGTATCTACATGAGGATGTTTTCTGAAAATGGTATATAATGCCAGGCAAAAATCATTCAGGAATGAGATACTTTTATTACCATAAGAATATAGTCCATCGTCGATAGTATTTATGATAAAAAAATCTCGGGTATATCTCTTGTTGTTCTCGAGAAAATGGAGATTTACTGGAAAGTATTGGACTATAAAGTACTCCAAATGGGAGCTACCCCCTCACATGTGTATTGTCTATATCTTCAGAATGGCTCATCCGCTTGAGCTGAAATTTTCAGTTTCTTCCTAAGTCTATTAGGCCTACCTACTATAAAAATATCAGCCAAATCGGTGACATCGATTGAGCAACGTTGGTTGTGGCTTACGTGCAGTGCTTCATAGATACATATGTAGCAAGAATAACTAACATGTCTTATACGATTAAACAGTAATGATAAAACAGATATGTTATCCTATATGATTGATGAGCACAAACCATTTTCTTAGTTCATAGATCTAAAATAATTTTTCATATAAAAAGAACCAATCATAAACATTAGTTAATCTATAACTATATTTGATAGTAAGAAGCTTCTCATTGTATTATTTATTTTGTGAGACGAAGGTAATCATTATAAAAGCTTCTCTCTTTCTTATTTCTCTTACATTCATGCTTCATTAATTTTTGTTTTCTACCATATCAAGCGATTCTCTGTACATCACAAACCACTGTATTATATATCACAAACCATGTGGGCAAATGAGCGCATTAAAGGAAGCCATTTCGTATCTCAATCAATAATATAAAAACATATATATCAAAAGTGAAGCTAAGAGTATCAGTGCAGATACTCGAGATATGACAGTAAGCTGCAGAAAAAAGATAAATGAAAATCACATCAACAGTGTATTCAGTTGTTCAATATTATTTAAATCACACAAAGACTAAAATGGTTTTTGACTGCATTATCTCAAAAACAAGTTCTGCTCGAGTATAAAGTATGAAATACATTCCATCATTTTTTATGATCAATTAGACGGAGTAAGTCAGAGTTGTAACCGGTCAAAAAAATTCAGGCCGGTCTGGTCTGAACAATTTTCTAGACCAGAAAAAACCGGCAAACGTATGAGTTTTCTTTAGATCATAAAACTAGTTCTAGAAGTAGACCTTTTATCCATAAATTGATTTTTACACTTCTTTTCATGTATACTTATATTACTGTCTTCATAGCAAAAACATAACACAAATTTCCAAGGTTGAATATGTTCTGGACAAGATAAAGTTCTTTTCTGCAAAAGCTGATAATTGATTTAAATTTCTTCTATTATTATATACACAATTTACACAAAAAATATCATAAAAATACATATTAAACTAACAAACTATGTGCCATAAATACATATAGACAAAAGTGTTATTATTTTGATGTTGGCCATGTCTTGTTTAAATAGGCTTCTTTGAAAACAACAATTGATTCGACACATTCAGGATCCAATTGAGATCTTTCTTCTGTGACAATTCATCTGGCCGTTGCGAAATGCCGTTCAGATTTAGCTAAAGATGCTTTTATAACAAATATAGATTTTGCTATTTTTGGTAAAATCGGTAAGATTGATTATTAATCACGCCAAAACATCAATGGATTATTATCTTCAGGTAATTCATATGATGTATTTTCATAAATTTGAATTTGTTGAAACAGTAACTGAAGATGTTGTTGTTCGTGCACCACGCATTGTAGCAAAAGGATCTTCTTTCATTTTTTTGTTGGTGGTGAATTATTTTTATGTGAAGATCCATTGGTTCATAAAATAACATCTTTAAAATCATTACCCAAAATATAAATACCATCTTTAATAAATTTCTTCTGTTCAAATAAATATTTTTCATCAGTAACAAATAATAATTCTTTAAATTTTGGATCAAGATATGCAGCAATCCAATGTAATCATGTTGTCGACGTCCAATATTTATCATCAAGTTCTTTGGCAATTTCAACTTTTAATAAATTTATAAAAGAATTTTTTGTTTTTTGTCTATAATACAATATTCATGCATTCGATAATAGCTTGGTATAACATTTTGTAATGTTGGTCGATTTGAAAATTCTAAACTATCAAAAATTAAACTGAAATTTTCCGTAAACTTGCTAATTTCATATAGTAACTGTGGATTGATGTGTACAAGACGATGTTATTCACCATGTTCACGTAATAAAATCAGCAATTGTTCATATGATTGATGTAAACTATCATGAATAAGAAAATAAGAATGTCATGGACGTGTGCCACTTGTACGTTTTAATGTTTTTGGTAATTTGAATTGAATTCCACCACTTTGTTGACAATAAGTTCGAAGATCACTAACTGATGTGCTAAACATGGAAATCTTGCTTCATCAGTTAAACTTAATGCTTTAATCATATTTGCACCTTGATCAGTAGTAATGGGTGTTTTACTGAATGATAAATTAAATGATTGAAAGATTTGTTCTATTTTATGCCATATATTAATTCCAGTTTTTTGTGCATCAAAATGTTTGCATCTTAATAAGTTATGTTTTAATTCATAAATATTATCAACATAAAATACTGTAAAATTTGAATAGCTTCTTTTCATTAACCCTTTGAGTACCGGCGACGCGAATTCGCGTCCTGGTAGTTGCGGGTCTGAATAACTTTAGAAAACATGATCGTTTGATTATTTTATGATATGAATTGCATGAATATTTGCGTTTAGGATATTTGTACGGTTAAGACTATCTGTACCTGGTGATGAATATTGGTTGTTCCCTAATATTTCTATCGATCATTATGTGATTCGATGAATTAGAACATAAGTCATTGGGCAACATTTCCCGAGAAAGAATAATCGTTATCAACAGGATTTTTCATATTAACACAGTCATTCAAAAATGTCATCTATAGTAAAGGTTCTGTCAATTGATCACATTTGCTAACATTTTTCTTCGCGCATTGAATCGGCAGAGATTCAACTAAATCCAAGAAGAAAATGTTACGTTTGTGCCAATACTGTGAGAAGAGCCAGATCAAGAAGAGATACTTCGTATGAATGCATTGAATGTGACGTAGGATTGTGTCTTATGGATTGTTTTAAAGACTATCACACTCTACAAGCATTTTAATTCATGGACTTTGTGATATTTTTTGCGAAATAAACGTTAGTTTGAAATTATAAAAATTTTTATTATATAAAAACAATCCGGTACTCAAAGAGTTAAGGATGCACGAATAAATATAACAAGTAACGCAGCTCAAATGCTGCTAATCCTCTACTGAAAGGATGAGTTACACTGAAGATAGGATATTACAAGTACTAGATATAGGAAATGAGTCGTTGGCGGTACGTTAAGGAGCGGAATGAAAAGAACCATTATTCTTCAAGAGTTGAAAATGTAGATTCCCATATTCGGTATTCCCTATGAAGATTGCATATTCTGAGCATGTTAAAAATATGCTTTATATTCCCATGATATCATCAACATTCTCCGTACTCGTTCATGAATATAGAAATAATGATAAGCTAACATTTAGTATTTACTGTATCAAAATTATAAATCATATTTCTGAGGAAATTGTGATAAACTTAGTTAAAAAATATTGAACAATATTTCTTTTGTTGCGTATGAATCAATCAACAAACTTTGTAAACTATAGAATTGATTGTCATTTGATATTGCAATATTATCCTTAGAACAACACTTATTACAAGAAAACGATCTTATAGAATTTAGAAAGAAACAGTTAATCACATACTTAGATTTCATATTTTGAGTGTCTGATAAATAAACAAAAAAAAACATCAGACTAAAGTTATAACGAGTGGTCCATAAAAAAAATCATCTCAGTATTTTGTGAATATATCTTATGAGAGAAATCTACCGATTGTCCAATTACTTTTGAGTCGAGATCATGCGCATTATGTAGACTTGAATGAACTATGAATACTCTAAAAAGAATCGGTGGTCTTAGCTTATTGCTACGGAGATACTACACTTTTATGGTATTTTTTCAATGAATATCGTGGTTCCCCTGAGATACATCAGAAAAATTAACTTTCAAATTTTGACTTGAAACTTTGCATAGAGACAGGTCTTAACGAAAATAGTGTATTGTAGAAGTTTTAGATAATATCGCTTTTCCTATCTTAAGGTCTCACCCTCAAAAAAAAAGTCACTTTTCGTCAGAATTTTCGAAATTGAGATAAATGCATGAAGAGATAGCTCGTCATCTGGTCTTTTAAAAATCATAAAAATTTTTACTAGATACACCTTTTTCCCAAGAAATTTTGAAGATTTCTGTCATCTCCTACTTGAAAAACCAGCTGTTTTTAAAAAAATCGAAAATGTTTTTCGTTTTTTCTCAGTTTATGCTTTCTTGAACGCGTAAGCAAGAATTCTTTATTCAGGCTCATTCTATATATTTAAATTTCTTTTGTTTGAAAGAGCCTGCCAAGGTGCAGTGCCTGCCAGAGCCCTTTTTTTAGATTATACTTTGTTTTTACTATATATACAAACACTTATATAAATAGACACCCATTGTCGGAGCGTTTTTTGAGCCATTGAATTTGTGATCTCTTTTCTCCACTTAAAAAGTAAGAACTTAAAAAAAATGGCTCTGGTAGGCACTCCATTCTGATATGCTCCTACCAACAAAAAGAAATTTAAATATATACCCAGCTGAATCATTTCGGCCGTCGGAAATGGCACCTTGTCCAGCCTGAAATGGCTATAAAACGGCGAATTACTGCATTAATTTTGGTCTTATTTCGCCGTAATCTGGTACGACGGATTACGGCGCCGTTTTATTGGACCTGGATAGAATGAGCGTGGACAGAGAAATCTCGCTTGCCAAATGAGCTATTTTCGGCCCTTGTTTGGTGAATATCTCTGTCAAAAGTCATGATACAGGGCTGAAAATTTCATCATAGTCTCTCCACTATAATCCCAACATATCCTGAAAATTTCAGCCAAATTGAATGTTCCCGGGCTGAGATCAGTTTTTGAGGGAGAGGCCTTAAAACTATTTTTGAACGATATGCATGTAGTTGAATTCGCTATTAAAGTTCTATTCGTGTTTACCTCGGTGAAATAACCTGCAACACTGATGATAAAACATGGATGCAAAGTGAGAAATGTGTTCGAATATATCTTAGCGATATAATAATCAATAACGCGGTGTGTTCAAACGCGTAATTGAAAGTCAAGAGCACCAAAGAACGCATATAACAAGTGCATACAACTGTGTGTCTTCGATGAAGAACATTCCATCACATTCAACTTAGGATTGTCTGCATTTGAAGACGCAGTCACATGCAAAAATGAAACCGTTCACTCTCAAACGTGTTTCATAATTAATCTGAGCTTGTTTGGATGTGTCCTATGCAAGAAACACGTTCGAACATACGCAGAGAATGTGAAACACGTTTTGAGAGAAATATAATAAACGCATTTCAGTGCGTTTGAAGTTTATTTGAATGTGAGTTGAGTTAAAACTATGTCATTTGCAACAAAAACGTATTTAGACACGTCTAAAGTGCGATTCATGATTGCATGAGAAAGACAGAGAAAAACAACATTGGCTGTGCAAATATCAGATGTGTGTTGTCTTAATCAAGGTACGTCGAAGCTGAATCTATTAAACTTCTTTTTCTTCCCTTATTGTCTATTGATAAAGCGCAAACGTAGGATTTACAGCTTTATCATCTTTGCTTAGTATAACATTAGTCGAACACAACACGAAATATACATTGGTGATAAATTATGATTAATCAAATCTTGGCCAAAGTAAGTTGCTCTTGAACAAAAGACAACCGATTGAAGACCTTACAGACGATCCCATTGAAATTCCGAGTCAATGAACGCTGTGACAACACTATCAAGCGTTTTAAATCAATAGATATACCAACTACAGCTCTCTGCTCTTTACAATAGGAACCAGGAATTGAACATTGAAAAAAAGAGGCCACTTAATTCTTTTTGACAGTCTGTTTTCTGACTTAATGGTGATTTGGGTTAAAAAAAAATATTTTTGTTTGTGAAAGATCAGGTATGATTGATCGCTTTGAACTATAGTAGAAATATCGGGTCTCGGATACCGTTTGTGACAAGATTCTATTCTTTCGTCATTACTATTTCCAAACAAAATAAAGAATAGAGAAGACTTTGACATAAGAGATGTTGATCTATTATTTTAGTTACGTCGCTCGAATCATGATGTAAGTCTAACGACAGGTGAAGTCGATACGAATACGATCCATGACGACGTGAGTAGTGTTCATTGTATATATCAATCATTATCATCTGTTCTGCATAGAAAAATAGCAATCACGAATGGGATAGACCAATAGAATTTGTTCTATCGCTGATTTCGAACTCGGTCGGTATTGGCAATGTTTGGCGATTTCCATATCTAGCCGCTCAAAATGGTGGAGGTTAACATCAATTGTTTGTTCTTTTTTTTGACTTGATCTAATTTTTAAGGTGCTTTTCTCGTTCCCTATTTCATTATTTACTTCCTTATTGGAGCTCCTCTCTATTATATGGAGCTCGCTCTGGGTCAATTTTCCAGTCGAGGTCCAACTGCTGGCTTCATTTTTGCGAAAGGATGGCAGGGTAACGTATTCAAAGCCCCTTTCTCTATGATAATTTTCTTTTCAGGCGTGGGCATTGCTATGATTATCAATAGTGCTGTCACCATGATTTACTACAATGTTGTCGTCAGTTGGGCTTTGATGTATTTTGCCCTTTCGTTCCGCAAACGACTTCTGTGGTCTGACTGTGGATACTGGTGGAATACGGATCGATGCTTTGTGCCCGGCTCCCATGGAAGCACCTACATACATATGTTTAATGAAACAACACAGAATTGTACACGCACCGAATACGTCAATGTCTCTGATTACCGATGTACAGAGATGAATACTACTGAAAAAGTTACAGCGACCGAGGAATTCTTTTAGTAATTCATTTCTATTATTTGTATCGGGTGAATCCGTGAAGTTTCTACCGCTTTTCGGGAAAATTTTTATTTTATTTTAATAGTCTAGTCAGACATAACATCCTCGAAAACAGTCTGAGGTAACAATTAAAACCTTTTTGGACGTATAAAGTGTGAAGATTCACATCAGGTTTTAGGAACACTTCACACACATAAAGGTTATCCCATAATAACTGATGATAAATTGTTAATCATATTTTTCATATTATTTCTTCACCTAGAAAGCTGAAACTTTTATAACATATATATCTAATCAAGGTCTTTCATTTGTGAAAGTTTCAGCTCTCTAGCTAAAACTAGTGGTTAAATACATCGTCAGAACTGAAATACAAATTTTCGTACTCGATTTTTGCATATTTTTGCTGCGAAACCATTGCAAAAATCGAGTACGAAAATTGACATATCTGACCATTAGTTTTAGCTAGAGAGCTGAAACTTTCACAAATGAAAGACCTTGATTAGATATATATATCATAAAAATTTCAGCTTTCTAGGTGAAGAAATAATATGAAAAATATGATTAACAATTTATTATCAGTTATTATGAGATATCCTTCTTCCAAAATGTGGTAGAAATCACACGGATTCACCCTATCCTCTAAAGACAACATGTCCAATCGATCTGTTCTATTTCGATCCATTAAGTCAATTGTTTGCAGAGCGCTTACGGAGAGCCTTCATGAAAAAATCGAGGACATTGTCAGCAACAGAGAAACTGGTCAAATTTTCTTCTTTTAATTTGATATGCACATCGGAATCAGCTTCATCTAAAATCTTTAAATTCAAACTTTTGACGTCTTCCGTAGAGTTGATGAAAATTTATACTAACCGGACTTCTGACAATTTTGTAACTTTAACATAAAAATGCTTCCATAAGATTGAGTCATCTAGCTCGGTAGCGAATTGATTAAAATTTTCGTACAATAGACCAGAAAATATAGCATCAAAACTTGAACAATCTGAGCTATTTAGATATTCGATTGCATCCACTGACTCAATTTTGATGGCTGTTTTGTATCGAAAAATCTCTAACGAGGAAACCTCGCCAAGTATTAATCGCGGATTCGAAGGAAAGGTATACTAGTCGAGAGAGCTCGACGCGCTGGTCATAGTGATAACAGACGCTTTTTCCCATAGAGCTTTCTTATAGAATTTTCAGGTCATATATAGAGTGTCCGGGAAGTCACTAGAGATAGAAAAATTTGAATATCTCAACGGTGTTTGGACCAAATGAGTTGATTTTTTTACTATTGATAGAGGAGTGTTCCTAGTCCATATTCATAAGAATATCGTATGCAAAAACTATTTCGAAGTATCACTATTGACTTCGATAAAGAAATGTCCTAGGCGAATGTCTGAAAAAATCCCATTCGCAATGTGTTTTAAAAGTTATCATGAAGAACAAATTTGAATAAGTTCAGCATATTCTAACCAAAGTAGGCTAATTTTTTTGAAAATTTAGAAGTATATTCTCGGTTCAATTCGTATCAGGTAAAATAAGACGTCTCACAACTTAAAGTTGTCGTAAACATAAATAGTGTTTTTCGAAATCCGTAAGAGGATAATTTCGTTTTATTCATTTCGAAAGTGATACTTCAAAACAGCTTTTGCATACGTTATTCTTATGAATATGGACTAGGAATACTCCTCTATCAATAGTAAAAAAATCAACTCATTTGGTCCAAACGCCATTGAGATATTCAAATTTTTCTGTCTCTAGTGACTTTCCAAACATCCTATATATGATCTGAAAATTCTCTAAGAAAGCCCTATGGGGAAATACATTCGTTACCATTATGACCAGTTCGTTGAGCTCTATCGATTGGTATACCTTTTCTTCGAATCTGCGATTAACATTTGGCTAGGTTCGCTCGTAAGTGTAGAGAATCAAAGCAATATTCCGGATATAGTGGTAACGATAGTTCGTCTGGATAACGAAAACAAAAACTTTGACATGCCAGGTCTCCTGAAAAGATATGGCAATTTTTGAAAAAAAGACATTTTTGATAAGCGTTTTAGAGGCGTGCTGTCCTATAGAATGTGCAATGCTGATCACAATTACGGAACCAAACTTGAAAATTCATCGTAGTCTAACAGAATACGAACAGCTTTTTTAGTCGACCAATGTCAGGGATACTTTGCTCAGAATACGTTTTGATTAGAATGAAGTGCAGCGTGCACAGCGAAGATTATGTGTTCTACAAAATACTTAAAATATTACGTCTAAATTGATTCATCATAGCTTTATAACCAACAGATGCTGGTCTCCATTGGCATATGCGTGTCGGTTGCCAACAGTCGGTAAAAGCTATCCATGAAAGAGAAAAGAATGCATATTGAGCTAAAGTTTTTAGTGCTTTATAGGAAACAAGATATTAGACTTGCGCACTGTGTTTCATGCTAATCAAAACCTATTCCGAGGGAAGTATCGCTGAAATTGGTCGACTAAAAAGCTGATCGTATTCTGTTAGACTACGATGAATTTCCAAGTTTGAGTACATAGTTATGATCAGCATTGCATACTCTATAGAACTGAATGCCTCTTAAACGGTGATCGAAAAATGACTTGGTCGATTTCTATGTGGTAGTATTGTCCTATTGATCAACATTGTGAATTACTTTTCATCCCAAGCATACACTTTCTTTCGAATACTTTTTTACCATTTTGTCGAGAAAAAAACGTTACACAGCATATGTGAAAATTAGTTAGCACTGAGTTAATGTGACTGCACAGTAGCTAGCGTGCTGTCAAAATCAGCCCTTCTTATAGGCTAGTTCAGGACAGGATTTGTCGGATAAAATTGAGTTAGTGAATACAATCGAATATCTAAATAGCTCAGACTGTTTAGCTTTTGATGCTGTATTTTCTGGTCTATTGTACGAAAATTTTAATCAATTCGCTACCTAGCTAGATGACTCAATCTTATGGAAGCATTTTCATGTCAATGTTATAAAATTGTCAGAAGTCCGGTTAGTATAAATTTTCATCAACTCAACTGAAGACGTTAAAAGTTTGGATTTAAAGATTTTAGATGATGCTGATTCCGATGTGCATCTCAAATCAAAAAAGTATATTTTTACAATTTCTTCGGTTTCTTTGTCATGACATGGGCGCCCTCTTATGATCACTTAGATTTCATACACTCGAAAGCACTGTCATATTTTAGTCGTTTTCTCTTGAATAAGAGTTCGAGTTTCGAAAACTTCGGTGCCCCAGGCGTTTATATGGCGGTATCATTGCTAATTGCCTGGGTTGTTGTCTGTTTATGCATTATTCGTGGTGTTCAATCATCTGGCAAAGTACTTCATCTCTTGTACTCACCATTCACTTTCGTGTTACTTACTTAGGTTGCATATTTTACTGCTATTTTTCCCTATGTGGTTCTTCTTGTGCTTATCATTTACACTGCAACACTCGAAGGAGCAGTCGATGGTATAAAATTCTATATTATTCCAAGATGGGAACTCGTCGGTAATTTTAAGGTGATTTTGTAAGACAACTTACTAATAGAAACAAGAATGACATTTAGCGTAATATCGAAAAGACAAGCAAACATTTGATACATCAGGGATTGTAATCGTTCGAAAGATTTTCTTTGATTTCTGACAAGAAAAAACCAAGAGCCTAATATTTTCGTTATGCTGTTGGTTTTAGAATATTTAGTATTCTGACTTCAAGTTTCTCAGTTTTGGGACATAATTTCAATATTGAATGACAAATATAGAAATTGACCTAAATATATTAATTACCTGGATTTTCCTTCTGCTACATATTTTTGTCCACAGAGTAGTGATCGTCTGCTCAATCGAAATTAGGCAGAAGAAAAAAAAATGCTCGATACGAGAATGGAAAATTCCTACATCTATGTTAAATCATTTAGATATGGCAAGCAGCTGCCACTCAAGTATTCTTCTCTCTTGGCATAGGCTTTGGTGCACTTATTGCATATGCGTCAGCTAATAAATTCGAGAATAATTTTTTTCAGTAAGTGCACATTTCTGTTTTCTCGATGCGTTATTCTCATCTGATTGTTGATAGTCAAATGTGTATTGTGGTATTATGTGACTGTTTTACGGGTGTTTTCGCCGGTTTCGCAGTGTTTGCTACCGTTGGATTCTTGGCCAAAACGTTGAATGAAGCCGTATCGAAATATGCTGAATCTTCGGGTCCTGGCTTAGCATTCATCACCTATCCTGAAGCGCTTTCAAAGATGCCAGCCAGTCCTTTCTTTTCTGTCATCTTCTTTCTAATGCTCCTCGCACTCGGACTCGGTTCACAAGTGAATTTTTGATCTCACAATCATATTCATACAATCATATATAATTTCGTAGTTCGCCCTCACTGATGTCCCGATAACTGCTATTATCGAACTGTTTCCATCGTTGCGAAGGCGTCGCGTCTACGTTGTCATAGTTACTTGTGTGATTTCTTATATCATCAGTCTGCCATTTACGTGTCCTGTGAGTTTGTTTTACTATATAGCTGGTGTTGAACAATTTGAAATTTCTTTTAGGGTGGTATCTATCTATTCGAATTCCTTCAAGAGTATACAGCCAATTTATCGCTACTTGTCATCGGCTTCATCGAAGTGATCGTTATTAGTCACATATACGGTCTGTTCTATACTGTCAAGATTATTCTTCCAAATTAAAAAGACATATTTTTAGGATTCAATCGATTCATGAATGACATCAAAATGATGTTGGGCAAACGAGCAGCTGAATGCTATCTGTTTATCACATGGTGCATCACAGCTCCACTTCTTACGCTAGTAAGTCAAGGATATCCGAAATCTAATGAATACGAATAATAGCTCAGAACCATATCTGATGCTTTATTGACTAGCGAACATATGTGGTGATAAAACATTTTCAAATGCATAGTTTCTTGGTCGAAAGACAAGAAAAGCAAATGATGATATTCAATATGAGCCTTCTTGATTGGTCGACTACATGATCATATGCTTTGGTTGCAAGGTAAAATACCATTATTAAAGCAAGCTTTACATATCATTACATATATGTCATTGTCAATATCTTTAAAGAATGTTCGAAGAATGCTTTAATGATTCGACATTGATGTAATGCTACGATCCTTCTTTTGATTTCGTGTTCGAAATTCGTCTAGAACTATGCATGGATTTCATTTGACTTACATTGACAGAAGTTTGAATAGGAATCGATCAGAATTAAAATTGACACTCTTATACATGCATTTTTGAACCTATTTGATCTGGATACATGATGATGCTACTGCAGTCATGTTTGGTTTTAATTTAAAAATGGTTCTCGAGAACGATTTTCCTAGAAAAGCTCCTCGTGGTTTTCTTATTTGTTGTGACTATTGGTTGTTTTAGATAATGATTGTTGCCAAAGTTTTGAATAGCACTACACTAACAAGCAAAGCTAGTGCGGGATTTCCAGAATACGTCTACCCGACATGGAGTACAATATTAGGCTGGTTTATGTGTGCTTTTTGCGTGATTCCAATTCCTGTCTATTTTGTGTTTAACTACATTCGAGAATATAGAATTCTCGGTGCTGCAAGATTGGTATGTTGATTTGTTCTTGTTACATAATCTCTCTTTCTAAGTTAATAGACTGAACATACTACCGAATCGACCATCTCTGAAGATTCCAAGATGCGTGGAAATCATGAGGAAAGCTCACGTTACTTAGTAGCATTTACAGCAAATAACTCACCCAGAGAGGATTGGGGACCTAAGAAGAGGATCAACCAGTGTGGACTCTATGCTCATTTGAGTGTCGCTTCAACCAATAGCAACAATATTCCTACCGAACGTCACGGTCATAAATTGTTCCTAGCGAATATGCCCGTAGTAAATACTGCAACGAATATGATGAGTCGAAGTTCCAATCCAGATTTCCAAGCCAACCAACATGATGCAAAGGATTCTAATTAATAGTTTCAAAGTTATTTTTCAACAAACAATGTGACTAATTTAGTTCATGTAAAGACAAGTTAAAAAATATAAACAATAATAAAATCGTCATTGATAGATAATATTTATTTGTTGTGAATGTGGGTCTTTTCTTCTGTTGCACTGATATATAGTCCAACTTTTCGGAAAGATTTTTTTCAGTAGAGAAGACCAAAGAAAAGAGCCTATACTTACTCAAATTGGGTTAAGAAAAACAGTCTATGATCTTTATTGAAACTTTTGATAGGGTAATTTATGAAGACGAAAACAAATATTCTTACTACATATACTTTTATTGTGAAACTTAGAATATATTAAACTTAATCAAAGTTTAATGGATTTTATTTAATTTTTTCAAGAATAGAGAAATATGCCATATTTTTGTGATTAAACTTTTCGAACACATTTGGATATATATCAGAAAACAACAGCGAAATTTAGGATCACAACTTTTACAAAACTATGCATGAAAGAAGATTATTTCGGGGTGTATAAGTAATATTTCTTAATATATAATATATTTGATTGTAAAATCAGAAAGGATTGCCATTTAAAAATAATTCAAATATAAATATACACAATGTATGCAGTTTTTGATCGCTGTTTAGAGACGAGAGATAAATAAAGAATATATGCTATGCTCTGTTGTTACATATTTGTGTCCGGTATGAATGAAAGATTGACAAAAATATTCTTTTCTCCTTATTATTAATGTCATGTAATAAATTAGGTAAGTTTCTTTTAATTTTCAAGAAGATCAAAATAAAATAGAAAATAAAAAGTGATCGATACAAAATAAATTTTAGGTGAGAACTTTTATTCGAATATAGAATGAATGAGTGCAATAGCTGTATTTTTCTAAGTATTGATATGTAAAAAAAGATTTACTCTCTCTCTCTGAAGCAAAAAATTGAATATTAAAATGCACTATAAACCTTGTTACAAAAAAAATTGTGTTACAGTTAGGGTGTGGGGTGGATGCGGATATAGGTGTGAGTGCAGGTGTGGTGTGGGTACGGGTGTGGGTGTGAGTGAGTGAGAGCTGTGGGTGCGTGAGAAGTGTGGGTGTGGGCGCCGGTGTTCGGTGTGGGTGGGGTGTTTAGCGTGAGTATCCTGTTTCTCTACAGTCATACTCCACATCGATACTGACACTCACAATCACATCTATCCACACTCCCACCCGCGTTCCCATCTTAAACCAGAACAAAAACGAAGTCGATCTGAAAAATTGGATGTTCTAATGAGAGAGCAGCACATAATTCTATAAAAACGAGTTCACTTCTTGAAAACATCTGCGATGATACGATCATGCCATCAATTTGTTTAAGAAAGTCTATGATGGACAATATATTATATAAATCTAATACTTGAAAGAATTTCTCCTAACTGTTGGGGAAATCACATCGATAAATTCTCATATAATTTTACATGTAAAATTCGTTAGTTGTTGATGTTGGATGAAAGTTGAGAACCTTTTGAAATAGATTAATACCGAAATAAAACAATGCAAGCATGTAAGAAACTGTTTTCGGTCAGACTGTGATTGAAATATTCGAACGACATAGCGAAGTGAGTAGTTATTTTAAAAATGTGCAAAACGTAAATCAGAAAATTAGTGTCAGAAAGAGTTTTGAAAATCGAGCGCAAAACAATGAAAGGAAATCATATTTATAAACGATGATCATTATTCTTAAATTCGAAGACATCGATTATTTTTTATATTTAATCGTGAAGTTTCGGAAAGTGTTAAAAGCAAAATTCTCTTATTTTTATCGATGTATTCTTTACAATCATATGTTAATATATCATAAAGAAATTCGTTCAAGTAAATACTTTTACTGTGTTTAAAATTTAAAAATCGATTTATAACACATTTCTCACAAATAATCAAACTATTTTGGAATCATCATATGTGCTCAGCTTGATCAACAAATCGATTGAACTTTAATCAAAATATTTTTCAAGTCTAACTGAACAGTACTGTAATAGTGGACCACATTACTGAGTATGACTTCATGGAAAAGTACACATCATCGTAAGCAGCAGCATCTAAATTGATTTCGATCGTATATATTTCGAAGTTTTGAAAATGATTTTTAAACTTTTCAGTAACATTCATATATCTCTATGTATGATATAGACTAGCAGAACTATTTTTTCAGATATTCGACTCTGAATTTCAAGCAAGAACCAACTGAAAGAAATAGGCACTTCTATAGTGTGAATAGTCATACATTCATATCTAACCATAATAATCAACATCATTGATAGATACTTGTCATTCTACATTCAACAGGATTTAACATTTTTCGACATCATAATTGCTGAAGGAATGGATATTTCCTGTCATGAAGACATAAAGAGAGGAAAATAGTTGAAGAGTCATATCAGTTATTTATTATTCGGTGACTAATATTTATTTGACATGATTTTGTAAATTTTATGAATTTACTAAAATAACTTTTAACCTCGAAACTTGGGTGTGGATGTCACTGTTACTCTTCTCTCTAATCACACCCACACTCACACCCACACCCATCATCCACACCCCGATAAAAACATGATTTTTTTGTACAAAATTTTTTGTAAAACCACTTTATTCCAAAAAAATAACAGTGGAAATTCGGGCAAAACCAATTACAGATTCGAATTCCTTGACCCCGATCACATTTGGTCAAACTTTATAAAAAACCATTTTTTTCATAAAAAAGTCCTTCTTTGTCCTTAAAAAACTCAAAATGAAAAATTTCAAAAGCCTAATCACGGATTTGAATTCCTCGATCCCGATTGCCTTTGGTCAAACTTTATAAGAATAACATTTTTTTTCATAAAAAAGTCCTTCTTTATCCTAAAAAACTCAAAATGAAAATCTTCAAAAAACTAATCATGCGCTCCAATTCCCCGACCCCGATTACCTTTGATCAAATCTTTAGGGTATTTGTTTTCTAATATCACGCCTCATCATTGAAGACATTAGCGAACGAACGCACGCACGCAGTTACGAACGAACACACGCATGCAGTTACGAACAAACGTAGCTAACTCATTCGGCGCACGACCCTCCTTCCCGTAGAGGGAACAAAAAATCGTGGTCTCAGAAATCTTACATCACATTGCACTGTAAGATTCTCGTAAGATCTTACCGTGGTATAAGATTTTCTATGATCTTATAGTGATATCATACAAAACCGCAAGATCTTCCAAGAATCTTAAGGTACGACTTGATGTAAGATATCTGAGACCATGATTTTTGTACGATTTTTCGTCTGATTTTACAAGATCAGATGCAAAATTTTGTCAGATCTTAGTATCTGATTGTTTGACCTGGATATTTCTGCTAATATCGTACTGTACGATTCTTGTATGATCTTTATGTTAGATAGTAAAAAATCTTAAATGATTCATGCATGATTTTCCAGAGCTTCATAGAGCATTGTATAGATGATTTGATCCATTTCTGACTTCTATAATGCTTGAGGTTTTCAACATTGTATTTGGTCTATAGTAATGCATATATTTACTTATTTATAAAAATTACAAAAAAAAACAAAAAATATAGAAGTATTCACTTGTAATCCATAGGTGAAAAACAAAATTATAGTAAAAAAAAAAATCTTTTTTTTTGAGTTTAGCCGACTGAATGATCTAAATAAAAAATAAT